CATATAATATATATATATATATATATATATATACTGTATATATATATAACCCGGGTCTCCGGCTAGGGAGGTGGACGCACTAACCTGCACAGCACCTACTCGCTGGCCTCCGTTACACACACACACACACACACACACACACACACATATATATATAATTTCATTTTTTTAAATATTTATTTTCTTCTACATAGCGATTGATTAGTTGGCTAAATGAGTTTCTTTTCTGCTATGGTGCTAGAATTATATATATAACTATATGGCTGGAGGCATTATGGGATATTTTGGTTTTTGTCGGCCAAGCATCTCTGGAGAAGGCACTTATTTAGGAGGCACAGTGGCAGTCCTGCTTTACTTGGTGCCCTAGGCGAGAAAAGAAATATATATGTGTCTTAAATTCAATATATGTGTGAAACATGTTAGTCTCGTGGTACAGTTTTCATTTAGTGTTCCAAAGTTCAAATCCCAACCTAATATATAACTTTTTTTAATAATCCAAGCACAATTGCAACTTGAACTTGACAAATCACCATGTACTGTATTCTTGTTGTATGAAAAAGAGCAGCTTTGACATTTTAATAATAACTCCATGGAGTCCATGGGATCTGTGAAGTTTTTGAGTGACAGTGAGGGTGAGAAGACAATGACAGAATTTCTAGTAGGCCTATAAAGCAAATGATGTGTGGAAGGTGCAGCTAGATGAGCACCTTTAATAAGCAACTTTTTAACTTTTGTTCTACAGTAATAGTTTTAAATTTAATTCATATTTAGGACAAAGTCACATCTTAAATGTAAAAAAAAAAAAAAAAAGAAAGAATTTTTTTTAAAAACAATTTTATTTTTGTCTTTTGGACAAGATCTCTCTGTGGTCATTAAAAATCCCATGGCACTTCTCATAAAAGAGTATGGGTGTAACCCCGGTGTCCTGGCCAAATTGCCCCCCTGGCCTTTGTCAATCATGGCCTCCTAATAATTCCCTACCACTTGATTGGCTCTATCTCTCTCTCTCCTCTCCACCTGTAGCTGGTGTGTGGTGAGCGCACTGGTGCCGTTGTCCTGTGCTGCCGTCGCATCATCCAAGTTGATGCTGCACACTGGTGGTGGTTGAGGAGAGACCCCCCACATGATTGTAAAGTGCTTTGGGTGTACAACAATACACAATAAAGCGCTATATAAATGCATCATTCATTCATTCAAGATGACTCCAAGTGTGTTCTTTTAGAACAGTGGTTCTCAATTCTAGTCCTCGCGACCCCCCGCTCTGCACATTTAGTATGTCTCTTATCACTTCAGATGTTTGTTCTATTCGACCATAAGTGCCCTGCGAAGTGGACTTCACAGGATATTCCACCATGATTCCAGTTTGAAGGGAGCGTATATGTTCCATTCAGAGGGCATTAAAGTGTGCGAGACGTGAATTTAAATTGTATTTATTTACAGAGGTATATTATGTCACACTTCACATTTCAGTTACAGTTACAGTTTTGTCTGTGTGTGAAGACGTTGCAGATCGTGGTGTAGCTCAAATCCGTGAATGAATATTCTGAAGTAAAGTAAACTTCAACGGATTTCCTGTGCTCAGGGAATAGGGAGCAATGAACACTGTGTAGGGACCCTGTCAATCTGAACACAGTTCATGCATGGAAACACCAGGGCTCATGAACTGCAACCATTTCATTTTGATTACGTCTTTGTCAGGTCTAAAAGAAGCAGATTTATTTAGCATGAATTTTTTGTATTATGTTATATTTTTTATGTTAGTGGTGCTAAAAATGCATCATAAAAAGTGCATCATTGTTATTTGTGTGTGGAGTGTGTTATGGTATGGAGTGTTGAAGAACAGATGTGATGGGCCATTGTGTGCCAGAAAGTCCAGGGCTACTTTTTAGTCCAACTGGGGATCGGTCTGAATGGGAATGACGTGTGTGTGTGTGTGTGTGTGTCTATATAAAACTCTTTTGTATCCTCCTCACTCTCACCTTCACTTTACTATTTTTCTATCTCTCTTGTACTTGGCACATCCTCACACAATACCAGGGAAGTCATTTCACTGGAGGCTGTCAGAGCACATTTTCTGACCTGTCACTCTTTGCCTTTGAAATATTGCTGAAAAGAAGACCTTGATGTGTCCAATTTTGTCACATTTCAGACATTTCTAGCATTTACCATTAACCTGTTGTCTGACAAAAGTCTTCTTCTTCTTAATTTAATCTATTAATTGATTAAATTTTTTGTTCAGTTTAATGTTGCTATACACCAATTTTCTGCTATGGCTAAAAGGAATAGATTACTGCAAAACCAGAGACATGATCATTAGTGCATTGACTTTAGTATTATTATTCCCCCATGGAATGATGTGATGGACATAATGTTTCAGCCTTGATGTATTTCCTGTTGAAACAGGATGTTTGTGCTCAGCGTATCCAAAGGATCTCATCAATTTTAGAATCAGCCAATATAAGTTAGCTTAAGACACATTGCTAAACCACAAAGAGAAATACTTTTTATATGTATGTATCTGTTGAACGTTTATTTTGTCAGCTTTTATGAGTATGTATGCCTATAGATTACCTCAGAGCTAACAGACATGAACTATAACCCGCAAGCACAGAGAATGTGTCATTTCCAACGTCCTGTTATCTTTTGAAGGAATTTTTCTTTTTCTCTTTTCCCCAGATCAACAAAGACACATCCAGGTCCCGTTGTTCATCTGAGTGACAGTCCAAAAGATGAGGGAAAGGTGAGGAATGCATTTCTCCTTTTTCACTAGAATCAAGAGCTCAAAACATTTTAGAAAGATAAGAACTATTGAGCACAAAGGCTTTACCGCTATGAATAAAATAAATAAATAAATATTCCTTAGTGTGACTGCTGGAGTTCATTATAAAAGGTACTTTGCATGCGTTGGCACAGTTCTAATTCATTAACACTCATCAGGATACACACACACGCACGCATACACTTGTTATGTGACCTGATGTTCACCCCGACTACTGGTGTTAACATCTTGTATTGAGGATGCATACTAAAAACATCTCTCTCACTCTCACAAACACACACATTCACATTCATTTAAAGGAATAGTTCAGCCAAAAAAAAAACACATTTTGTGATCATGTACTTACATTCATTTTGTTTCAACCCTGTAAGATGAGATGTTAGGCAGAAAGTCTGAATTGTTATTTTATGCACAATGAAAATGCATAGTGATTTATACTTCCGAGTTTTCATGCACTGTATTTTAAGTCTTCAGTAGGTCTTTTGGAGCTTGACAGTATAATTCACCATCTAATTGTCATCCAGTTTTGTATGGAAAAGAACAGCTTGGACATTCTGCCTAACATTTTCTTTTGTGTTTCCTGGAAGAAAGAACATTATATACAGGGTAGAATGACATGGAGGTGAGTGATGAAATGTTCATTTTTGGGTAACTATCTCCAGCAGGAGGCATGGCATTTTGTAGTGGGTACCGTGAGGTCATCTTCCAGGAAAATAATCAGGCAGGATTGCTGTGGTTACATGCTGTTGTGGTCACAGCAGGTTAGATGCATTATGGGAACTTATACGGACGGGTTTAAGGGACCAATAATGGTTTGGAAAAGAAGACAAAACAGAAAATATCCTGTAGCACAGACAAAGGTAACGACAGTCCAATGTCTATTTAATTTGAATTTGAATTAAAGGAAGAACTGTTAAAATGTGATGAAATAGCAGTTTAGTACATTTCTTTTCCTTTCGTTCCAATTCCAATTCCAATTCAACTTCCTGAAGTGTGTGGCCAGTTCAGTTCAAATCCACCCACATGATCTGAATGGGAGCCAGTGCTTAAATTCAGAATTTTTGCCCAACATCTGTGACAGAGAGAAGATTCCCAGGATGAAGCATGGGACTGTTTTGATCAGCGCTTGCTCCATCATGTACAGTTAAATAATAAATGTGCCCAATCACCGGTGTGTCTGTTTTGTTCTGAACCAAAACAGCCAAAAGGCGCTTTAATTTTGTAACACGCACTCTTACCTCTGCTTCCACTATTTATTGCCATTCTGTTGAGATTTATAGACTCTTGTATCTCTCTCTCTCTCTCTCTCTCTCTCTCTCTCTCTTCTGTGTGTGTTCCTCAGTTGCTGATAGGTTTTGAGAGTGGTACAATAGTAATGTGGGACCTGAGGGCCAAAAGAACTGACTTCAGGATACACTATGATGAGGTGAGTCTTACATGTTTGTCATTTACACTTCCTTACAAAGGTAACATGTATTTTTTGCATAAAGCTACCTATGTATTATAATATATACACCATTTTTCAACAGTATGGGGGCACTATACAGTATATATATATATGAAGTGTATTCATTTTAATTGTGTGGAGTGTTTATGTATGAAAATACAGACATATATACTTTATATTAATATATATATATATATATATACAGTGGGTACGGAAAGTATTCAGACCCCCTTAAATTTTTCACTCTTTGTTATATTGCAGTCCGTACCCACTGTATATATATATATATATATATTTATTATTATAATTTTTTTTGTCTCTGTGTGTGCGCGCATTGCTGACCTGAAAGTTCTGGTTTTATCATCTTGTTATAATCCAGCCCTCAGCCAAAAACAAGACAAACAAAAATAAATTGGAGAAAGAGCAAAAAAACTAGGCTATATAAATAAAAAAATTACGTCTTTCTCGCTCTCCATTGTCCAAGTAAATTTACTTTTGGTACGAAAAACTTGGCTCATCTGCTCATTTTTTTTCCCCACACTGTTGCTGATTTACAACAACACTGAACACAAGTCACTTTTCTGATTTAATTTCCCTCCTTGTGCCATGTGGATGTGTTTAGCTTAATCACTGCTTGGCACACAACTTTATCTTTCTTCTGAAAGGGGAACTGCCTCCTGCAGCCAGCTGCTCGCATTCATCCTTCTAAAACATGTTTCAATCACAGCGCCCCTTGGCTCACAGCAGCACACACAAAACCTTCCAAAAACTCGCCATTTTCTCCTTCCAACCCTTTACTGCGGGTTTCAATTCGTTGACTGCGCCCTCTGATCATCTGTCAGCGCCGCCTGTACAGAGGCACCGTCGCTCTGCAAGCGTTTGTCAGAGTGGGTAAATGGAAATGTCTAGGGGTCTGCTAATTGCTGCTTTAGATGCCCGTCTGGTATGCACAAAAAAAACATACTTTTAATAGAAAGGACTTTGAGCGAGAGAGAGAGAAGGAAGAAGAGAGAAACTGGGAGCAAAAAAACAGGATGGAATGAGAAGCACGACACAAATGGATGAGATTGTTAGTGTTGAAAGAAATAGGAATAGATTTGGAAAGGCACAAAACCCTTTACTCCACATTAATTTCTACAAATAGACTGAACACAGAACAACCACTATCATGTTTGACTAACCACCTTTAGATTAAATTTAATCTGATTTCATGGTGTGCCTTTTTGAATAATATAGAACATCAGCATCAAACACTTTAAACCGTTTTCATACACGCTACTAACAAACATCAAATAAATCTGACGCTGATATCATTTCACTTATTATTTAATGTGTGACATTATTGAGTAGATGAGTGGAAATCAGGCTGCTTTGATGGTGGAGTAATTACTGATATCGGATTATTGACTCTCAGATGGATGAAGGTCTGAGAGAGAGAGAGAGAGAGAGAGAGAGTCTTTCACAAGCAGGAACTATTAGTCATGTCTTCAGTTCTCTGATTTCTCTCATTTCCGGAGCCAAATTGACAATGCACACATGTGACAGCATCTCTGAGTTTTTTTTCTCTGTCTTCTTTCCCCTTGCTTGTTTTATTTATTTATTTATTGTTCTCTTAGATTCACCAAAGTTGCATTTATCGAAAATACGGTAATACAGCAATAGTGTGATATTTTATTACAATTTACATTAATTCTTCTAGTTTATATATAGCAATTATTACTCGGATCTTACCTAGTCAAAGCTGTCTGACACATTGAGCTATGGTGCCTATGCCAGTTCAAATCCAGCTTGCAATAGCTGGGTCACGTTCATTCTCTTTTCTTCCTCATTTCCTATCCTCTGCTGCATTGTGGCACAAAAATGGCCAAACAAATTAACATTATGAAACAAATGAACTGTTTTATGATCTGGTCATCATTTAAAATGTTTACTGATGCAGTCCTGATCGTTTCTCTTCTGGTGTCTCTCTGTCAGGCTATTCACTCAGTAAGTTGGCATCATGAGGGCCGGCAGTTCATGTGCAGTCATTCTGACGGCAGTCTGAGCATGTGGAACCTGAGAAACACAGCCAAACCTTTTCAAGTCACCTTCCCTCATGGTGAGTACACACATAAAGTATATAATTTTTTCACATATTAATAATAATTAGTGCAAAACTTTTTATTTTTTCAACTTAATTTAATTTAAAGGAAAAAATGTTGCGGGAATATCATCCTTATACCCTAAATTAGGACATAGCCTTTTATTGTTTTCATATAAAGCTATTTATATTTACACCAGACTAACCTTAACCCACACCCAAACGAATCTTTAAAATATTTTCATTTGTACAATAAAAAATATATATATTTCCTTGATTTATGAATTGTTTTCCTCAAATAAATACATCTTCAGATGTCCCAAAAGGGAGGTTTTGTCAGTCTTAACTAACTTCTGGAGCTAAATTTGACCCAAAGTATAGCTAAGTAAACCCACACACACAGTTAAAGACCCCTTCAGCCATGACTCACCATCTATTAGTGAAATCTGATTCTGACGTAGTCGGCAAACACACCCCCTCACCAGGTGTGTTCATTATGGAGGATGATTCAGTGTGTGGGTTCACAGTGTGTGTGTGAGTGTGTGTGTGCGTGCGCAAGTTTGATTTGACAGGAATAAGTGATTCACTCTCAATCTTTGCTGCTATGTTTGGGGTCCTGGCCTTGAGCTCAGTGGTTATATAAAGATGAACACGCTCATACTGGGAAAAGTGGTTTCTTAATCAGAAAGTTCTGGACATAAACGTAAGAAAGGTTCAGGTGAAAAAGTGAGAACTTGCTATTTTGTCTCTTTGTTTTTTTTTTCAGGTAAGACTCAGAGAGATGGTAGAAAAGAGTCATGTAAACCCATTCTCAAGGTCGAATACAAGACCTCCAGAAACAGGTAAGAGAACACACAAAAATCCCAAACATACCTATAAACAGCTGATCGGTTTTGGGAAATGCAGTCTTGAGTGTTGTGGATGAATTTAATCCTCCTATTTGCTTGCGACAGATGTGTCCAAGTTCCACTCGAAATCCATTACTGCTGTTTTATCTTGTCACAAAACAATTAAAGTTTACTGCCTGTTTTTATGAAGCCTGTTTTACTTGGGAGATGAGCAGCAAAACATAATTTGAAGAAACTTCCATCTTTGATTGCTTTTTTTTTGCCTTTTTTCCCCTATGCTGTGTTCAAATAAGTGGTCATGAGTGACCGCCTCAGTTTTAATGATATTTTAGATTAGCTTGGCTGTAATATTGTTTTCCACCTTTTGTTTTCTCCTATTTACATAGAGAGTATTTCAGGGTTGTGAGGAAGACTTTAAAGTGTCCCTATTATGCCATTTTTAAGGTTCCTAATGTTGTTTTGGGAGTATCCTACAGCAGGTTTACATGCATGCAAGGTCAAAAATCGCTTTCGTTTTCTCAAAATATGCATTTAATATCACCTTATTTTCCAGTGATTCTCAAACGATTTGTTCGAAGCAGTTCTAAGATTTAGTCTCTCTAAACCCCTCCTTACCATGAGCCTACTCTGCTCTGATTGGTCAGATGGCCCAGTCTGTTGTGATTGGTCTACCACGTACAGTGAGTGTTAGAAACGATACACCATAGATCCATATTTTGAACGCTCAATAGAAAATATAAACATCTATTATTTATCATGCTTACAGGTTATGATTCATTGGAGCCAGCCGGTCCAAATAAACTGGGTACTGAGCCATTTTTCAAGAGCAAGCGTTTTGTGAATCCTGCATTGAACTCCCCGAGATTAGAGAAGCAGTCATCAGTAAAATGACGGGAACACAAAAAAAGATTGGGGTTGTACTGCTGTGGTACAGTGAAAAAAAATTAATTTTAACCACTGATTCTTTGCAGCCTCATCTTTTGGATGTGAAAATAAAACAAATTTACTTTCACAGTGTAGGACACAGCGTCTTCTCAACATGATGTTAACCACACAAACAAACTACAGTGAGTCAAGTTAATCACGGCCGGCCAACGTAGAAAATAGGCAGGCATTATCCAAATATGTTACCCCAAAACGTGTAGCCGTCACGGAAGTGGGATTCGAATTACTGACGACTCGTTTCGGCTGTTCAGAGCCGATTCTTTCTTTTGGGAGACAATATCTTTATTTATTGTGCACTTTCTGCTTTACAACTTTGCAGATAATTTTCATTCACATGCAGCTACATTACACACTGTATGAAAGGCAATATTCGAAATGGCATAATAGGGGCATTTTAAATTGAAACCATGCATTCCTATAGTATCAATGTATTGAAGGGACATTTAACGTGAAAGCGAGGTTGTTTTGTGTGGCATAAAACTCGCTTTCCAATAAGACAGAATCTTTTGGTTCTTGACATGATATCAGACAGACAACTATGGTTTTCCATTTAACACTCTTTTATTATTTTCCGTCTTCCAGTAGTGAAGCATTTGTTGTCTTCTCCGGGGGTCTTTCGTATGATAAGGCAGGACGTAGACCCACCCTAACCATCATGCATGGCAAAGCCATCACAGTGTTAGAGATGGACTATCCAATAGTGGACTTCCTAGTGCTCTGTGACACGCCCTATCTCAACGGTGAGTGTACTGAACAGAGGTCAGTCCTGTCTCCTGCTCTCTTCCATATCATTAGTGTTGTTTTTGGTGGGACATTTAATTGGATTGAGTGAAATCAAGTTTTCGTTCTTTTTCTCATTGTAGACCCAATCATTAACAGAGAGTGGAGAGGAGATTAATTTTAAGTGAATCAGTTAATTCGTTCAGACAGTTCATAATGGTTCAGTTCAAAACAACTGATTCATTTGAATCATCACTAAAGGAGTGTTCCAAGAAGTGCATGTTCTACATTTGAAGTCTTTCTTATTTTGAAATTAAATATTTATTTAGTTAAATAATTATACAATTTTCTGTATTATTAAGTTTGACAAATTAGGGTGTTGTATTGGTATTTAATTTATTTTTATATATTTGTTTCCGAGTGATGTCATCACTTTAAATAAGATCCTGGTTGTATTTGTGCTACATGAAAATAATAATAATAAAAATAAAGACAATATTAGATGATTTTTTTGGTAACACTTTACAATAAGGTTCCATTAGTTAATGTTAGTTAACGTACTAACAATGAACAATACATTTATTACAGTATTTATTAATCTTTGTTAATGTTAGTTAATGAAAATGAACCTTATTGTAAAGTGTTACCTTTTTTTTAGCTTATGGTTCTAACATGTTCCTCAACTGATTGTTTTATCCCCCAGAAAATTCTCCCTTACAATTCAGTGATTTTATCAAGTACAACTCAAAAATTTGGTGTCAGTAAGATTTAAAAAAATAAATTAATACTTAAGGAGGCATTAAATTGATCAATGGTGACATTAAATACATTTGTAATGTTATAGAAGATTTACATTTCTTTTGAACTTTCTATTCATCATTGAATTCTGAAAAGGGTAGCATGGTTTCCAGAAAAATATTAAGCAACTATTTTCAGTATTGATATTAATAAGAAATAAGAAAGAAAAAAAACAGCTTTGCTATTACGGGAGTAAATTACATTTTAAAACACATTTAAACAGAAAACAGGTATTTTTAAATTGTAACATTTCATAGTATTACTGAATTTTGTATCAAATATTTTTTATTTGATTTTTACTGTATTTTTGATCAAATAAATTCAGCCTTGGTAAGTATAAAAGACAGAAACAAAATCTCACCTAACCAAACATTTGAATGGTAGTGTAAATGCATTGTGAATCAATTACATAAAATCTTCAGAAACAACCAACTTAAAGGAGCAATTAATTTGTGAATCTGACATCAGTAAGGCGTGATGCGAATTGATTCTGAATGGTTTGAGAAGTGACAGCTTCGGCTCTGTTCAGTCAAGGGGTGTATCTCTATATCTGTCTTTTTCTCTTGAGAAAAGCAGAAACAGACAAAGCCCTGTCAAGCACATGTACACACATGCACAGAATTTGTTACCCAGAATGCAAAAAAGAGACGGCAAACATCCAGCAAATGTGAAGATATCAATTGTTACCCATTTTTTCCCTTTCTCCCTCTCAACTCTCTGCTTGTTCATTCATTCTTACCAGTGCATATACAGCACAGTACGTGGCCCTGCATCTTCATGACCTATGGTTTTCATGAAAAGAGAATAATGGATTTTTTATTTGAACACTAAATCAATCTTCTACTGGTCAGACAAACACTACTCATTATTTGAACGTTTCTGCTCAAATAAACACAGAAATGTTTTTTTCAAATGTCTTTTTTTTTCCACCCAAAAATGAAAATTTGGTCATCATGTATTCACCCTCATGTCACTCCAAACCTGTATGACTTTGTTCTGTGCAAAACAAATATTCATAATATATTAATCTTCAACATTTTTGAAAAATTATTTTGTATTTGAAAAAGTATTTTGTCCGTGCAATGAAAGTCAGAGGGTTCCAATGTTGTAGTTTCATATGTCTCCTTTAAATGAAATAATATCCATAAATCTATGTTTTTGTGCTCACCTTGTCTTGAGTTCATAGATGGTTATTGGTTGAGATGTTGTGTTTTTGTTGACAGAGGTCCAAGAGCCGTATGCGGTGGTGGTTCTGCTGGAAAAAGATTTTGTTGTGGTCGATCTAACCCAGAGCAAGTGAGCAATCTCTTCTTCAGTATCTATTTCTCTTTCCGCTGTCATACTCACACACGTTATGCCATGTGTGTGTGACTGAATGATGTAACTCAATGTGATGTACTCCAACAGCACCTCCCATTAGTACTTCCACCAGAGGCAACATCGCTCAACACCCAATAAATTGTGTGTGTTACTTTTGTAGATGCTTTGTGGAAAAGGGTTTAAATCTGAGTGTGTGTGTGTCTTTATTTGTTAAGAGTAAATATCATTTGATTTGCCACTCATAAACATCCATCAAATGAATCATTATAAAGAACCAGAGCTAAGGTCAGCCTGACACTCACACACACACACACACACACACCAACTGGCCGTTCGTCACTCTTTTAAGTATTACTCCTGCCATAGAGACTTTGTCAGTTTGACATCAGATGTTTTCTTTGCTTTAAGGCCATTTCTTCACAAGGGCACAGCGAAGGAACAAACAAACTGCTGCACCCAAACCCTCTCAGAACCAAACAGTCATCCATACATTTAAAGGGGTCATATGATGCGATTTCAAGTTTTCCTTTCTCTTTGGAGTGTTACAAGCTCTTGGTGCATAAAGAAGATCTGTAAAATTGCAAAGACTAAAGTCTCAAATCCAAAGAGATATTCTTTATAAATAAAGCATGTCAACATATTCTGTTACACCAAATACACAAAATAATGATCTTTAAAATAGCATCATATGACCCCTTTAAACTTGAATTTTAAAGTGTACTTTAGTTTAGTTTTACCTTCTTTAAAAACGTTATATAGTTAAATAAGGTTATATTATATAGTAAAAGCAATAAGCCACTAAAGGCTGCAATGTACTGTATGTTACAATGATTTTACTACAGGCACTCTTAAAAACATGGTAAAATCACACACAACCTTGAGCTTATTACTGTTGTATCAACAATTGCAGTGTGATAAAGACACTAACACTTACATTTATTAAGAATAAAAATAACACTAGCACTTACAATTTATTATTATTATTATCATTATCATCATTATTATTACATTCTTAATTATTATTAATTCTTCTGATGGATAATATAATTCAGTTGCATAAATGTAGGCCAGTGGCATCAATACAGTACCCGTGGGTATCAGTACCTGGTAGCCCACTTAGAGTCGCCCACAGAGCACATTCTATAAATAGCCTTGTTTTTTTTATCATAATAATGCTCATTCTTAAGTGTTTCAAACATGTTGTCTTCTAGCCCTTTTATCCATTCAGGTCACTCTCACTTACAGTTAGAATGGAGACCTCCTGTTTATGGTCACCTGTAGCAACATAATGCACTTTAATACAGATTTCAGTTGATGTACGGTCACAGATGTGTGTGTGTGTATATAGGCTATTTTATGTAAATTTGAATGTGACTCTTGCAGTCGGAGTTGAGTCAAAATCGTCTGTGTTTTATAAATGCCTGTTATTTATTTAGAAGTCTCTCTCCTGTAGTTTTCCTATCTTTGAGAACCCCTACCCCATGGACATCCATGAGTCTCCAGTCACGTGCACGGCTTACTTTGCCGACTGTCCCCCCGACATCATACCCGTGCTTTACTCCATAGGAGCTAAACACAAAAAGACCGGCTACAGCCACAAGGTTTGTCAAAGTTCTTAGCTAATCTAAAAACTTTCTGGAGTTTCTCGATGACCCAAATTGCAGCCTTTCATTTGAAATGCTTAGTCATTGTAACTTATCATCTATTTTTCATGGCAGTTGAGTGTTTTAGAAACAGTTTTTATCTGTTTGTGTGTTTGTGTTCAGGAGTGGCCTGTCAGTGGTGGCACATGGACAGTCGGTTCACAGACATATCCAGAGATTATCATCACAGGGTAAGTGAATTTGTGTGCGCTTTATGTTATCAACCTTCAACTGTTACTAAAAGCTTTATAATACTGTAAAAAGCTCTACGGTATTATATGCTTGAAGCTTCATGCAAGTTCATGTTCAAGTTTGGGGTTGGTAAAATGTTTAAATGTTTTTGAATGAAGTTCAAAAACTTACCAAGGGCAAAAATACAGTAAAAAAAATAAAATTTAAAATAAAATAAGAAAACAGTCATATTGTGAAATTTAAAGTAACTGCTTTCTATTTGAATATATTTTAAAATGTAATTTGTTCCTAATTTGTTCCTGCCATTACTTTGGTCTTCACATGATCATTCAGAATTCATTCTAAAATGCTGATTTGGTGCTGAAGAAACTTTTTTTTTTTTTTATTATTATCAATGAGGAAAACAACAAGTTGTGCTGCTTAATATTTTTGTGGAAAACTTGATATATTTTGTTTAGGATTCTTTGATGAAAAAAAAAGTTCAAAAGAACAATTTATTTTAAATAGATTTTGAACTTTAATGTATGTTATTTAACAAACCAATGTGCGATTTTCTGTTCATTACATATTATATTTACATGAATTTGGCTGAGGCATTGGAAGAATTAGATAGCTTTTTTAGCATTTCATATAAACATCAGGTTGAGTAAAATGTGTGCTTTTTTGTACAAAACTGGATATGTGGATGATGCAGCTGTCCCAGAGCAACACACTTCATTTTCTCACTTGGATGTTTGTGCATTTATCACATTGTCACTCATAGCAGTATTGACAGGTACAGGGAAAAATATTGGGAATGAAAACTGAATGTCACTGAATTGCCAATTCTCCATTGAATGATGTTTAGATATAATACATTAATGGGTGTTTCTTCAAATATGTGCACCTTTGACCCTGTGAACTTTTACAAAATACACTCTCTTAAACTAACTTTTAAACTAACTTTCCACACTTTTTCTAGTCTATTTCATGGATCTACCAACAGTGTCCAACATACATGTATCAGACTAATTTTTGTCATGTATATCACAGTATCATTTACACTATGTCACATGATGTTGTTATGATTTCCTATGTTTATGTAATCTAAAGTCTTCTTGTGAATAAAATTAGTAAAATGCTTCTTATGAATGAAATTAGTAAAAAATAAATTAGTAATAAAATTGTATTATTAGTTAAAAAAAAAATAATAATAAAAGAATTTGAAAACATAAAGTTTGTCTTGGACTCAAGTATCTTCAGAAGGGTTGTTGTGCAGGTATAAAACAAAAAAAACAGCCCACAGTAGGTGACGCTTCCTACCTAAAATAGTTTCACGCCCCTGCCTCAAAAAAGTTCAACTTTCCGCCCACATGTGGAGGTCATTTATAGTATTTTTATTTGCTTGAAAACTCTGGATTGAGTTTTGATTCCGTTTGTTTTTGTTCCGATGCATGCATTGATTCCGTTTGTTTTCACTTGAAGTCAATGATGTCTAAAATGTGCCCTTCTGCTTGGCTCTCATTGGTAAATGTATTGCACTTCTCCGCTTTAATTCAATAGCACTATTGACCCTGCGTGTTGTTCTCTCTGCCTCTTTTTCCCTCCTGTTTCCATAGCTGTCATCGCTTGCTTTCTCTTAAGCTGTGTAACGCACACATTCAGTTGCTCATACGATCGCTTTTTGTCCTTCCTCTTTGTTGTCCCCCTCAGACATGCAGACGGATCAATAAAGTTTTGGGATGCCACAGCGAGTAAGTGTCTACGCTTTGACAAGCTTGTTCCCCCTTTCAGCCTCATGCTGTTTCCGTCTCACTCTTTCTTACCACTGCCTCGTTTTGGATGAACAACCTCCATTGATGCTTTGCCATATGATTCCTCATTTCTCATTTCATTCTTTTCTACTCAGACCAAACAATATATGACCAAAATGGACATTCAAATACCAAATATGTGCTGGTTTCACAACCATGGGCATTACTTAAAGGAATATTCTAGGTTCAGTGCAAGTTAAGCTCACCCAACAGCATTTGTGGCATAATGTTGATTACCACAAAAATAATTGATTTATTCCTTGTTTTCTATTAAAAATGGTGAGGAACTTACAGTGGAAGTAAATTTAAGAATTTAAAATTAGAAATGTTAAGTTTACTTGAATTCTTGTTTTAAAACGTTTTGTTATTTCAGATGTAAAGCTGTTCGAAATCTGCATGAAATCAAAATTGACACTCTTTACTTTGTTATTGCTAGTCTGTAGGTGAAAATTAATCTGTGCAAGTTAATACAGAAAAAAAAAGTTTGTCTTGGTAATTTTTTATGAAAATCTGAAAATTTGTGTTCCTTCTCTGATGACGTCAGTTATTCTTGTAGAATTAGAACAATTATTAAAACATTATTCTTACAGTTATTGCTTTTGGTGTGAACAGGCTAGGCTAACAGTAACCTATATATATATATATATATTTATTTATTTTCTTAAAGTAGACACTAATCCAATGGTAAACATCATTATGCCACTGTTAAGTGTAGTCAGTTGAGCTTAACTTGTACTAAACACAGAATATTTCCTTTAAAGCACTGTTTCTGTTTAAATACCTTGTTCATCACATTCAGTATGTAATAAGATGTGATGTGGTGATAACCTCCATCTCTGTCAGTCACACTGCAGATGTTGTATAAGCTCAAGACGTCAAAGGTGTTTGAGAAGCCTAAGAGTGGAGATGTGGGACGCAGCGCTGAGCTTGTGGAGGAAGACCCCTACGCTGTTCAGATGATCAGCTGGTGCCCGCAGAGCCGTATCTTTTGTGTAGTCGGCATCAGCGCCCACGTCATCCTGTACCGCTTCAGCAAACATGACGCCAACACCAACATCACAGTGAGTTGAGAAAACAAGTGTGCTCTTAAAGTGATAGTTCACCCAAGAATTCTATCAACATTTACTCACTCGCACTTCCAAACCTGTATGGCCTTTCTGTCTTCTGTGGAAAACAAAAGAAGATATTTTGAAGAATATTGTGTCCATACAATTAAGGTCAATGGGTTCCAAAACAACAGTGGACATCATTGACTTTTATTGAATTTTGTTTTTATTGACTTTTACTTACATCATGCGCACTCAAACCTCTACAAATGATTCAGATTGAAGCAGCACGACTGGTCTTCAACAAGCCCAAAAGTGCCCACGTCACACCTCTCTTTATCTCCCTGCACTGGCTACTGGTTGCGGCTCGCATCAAGTTCAAGACATTGATGCTTGCATATAGAACAGCCACAGGCTCAGCACACTCCTACTTCCACTCACTCTTACGAATCTACATCCCCTCCAGAAGCCTGAGATCTACAAGTGCGCGATGCCTCGTGGTACCATCACAGAGAGGCACAAAATCACTTTCCAGAACATTTTCGTTCACCGTTCCTGACTGGTGGAATGATCTTCCCACCCCCATCCAGAATGCTGAATCCCTGACCATTTTCAAGCAACAGCTGAAAACTCATCTCTTCAGTCAACATTTAACTGCATCCTAAAATAAAAAAAAATTAAAATAATAAAATAAAAAAAACGTTGCTTTCTCTTTCCTTAATCTCCCCTGTCTAGCTTGTACTATTCTGAACAATGTCTGAAACTTTGTATTACGAGCACTTCCTGTGTTTATTTGCCTCGTTATGATGAATCGCTTGTTGTGATCCTCAATTGAAAGTCACTTTGGATAAAAGCGTCTGCTAAAGAATAAATGTAAATATAAATGTGAATGGACAAAATACACTTAGATGTTTTTCAGAATATCGTCTTTTGTGTTTAGCAGAAGAAAGAAAGTCATTTTGAGTGAACTATTCCTTTAAAGCGATCCTTTAAATGTTTGAGTACATGCTATGGATTTGATGGATTAACTTTGTGTTGTATGTGTGTGTATAGTCCCTAGAGGTGCGGTTGCAGTGTGAGATGGAGGATGTCATCTCTCCGTCGGATACAGAGAACACTCCATGTTTTTCGGACCCCAGCGGTCACTCGCCCCAACCTCAGCCTCCCAGTCCCCGCTGCAACACACCGGACAGCGTGCGGGACAGCATCCCTTGCCTCAAGTGAGACTATACAGAAATGTCTCAATATTTATGTTTTCTTACGTAGGACTTGACAAGACATTGGTAGCTTGCTTACTAGATGATGCTATATAGAAAGTATTAGGTTAAATAAAAGTGTAACAATCAAATTAGATTCCACAATAAACTGAATTTGAATACTTACCTCACAGGGTTAAAGATCGTATGATCCGAATGCCTCCTGGATACCAGGCGGAGCTGGTGGTTCAGTTATTATGGGTCGATGGAGAGCCGCCACAACAAATCACCAGCTTGGATTTAAACTCCGCCTACGGACTGTAAGTGGCCTCTAATTTTTTAATGTCATCCATTTTTTTCAGCCAATAGAATCTCTAGAATAGTTTCCCTTGCACAAAAATACTATAGTATTGCATTCAAATATATTATGGTAATACCAAGGATTTGTGGACTTGTTTGGACTTATTTACCATGGTATATGAGTATGGTTATCAAACATTGGTCCTCCCATATTTAATGTAACTGATTTGTCATCTTCAAAACTCCAAAGTCATGTGTCCAGCTGTTTATATACCAGCACGCAGGGTGTTTGATTTTTGATTAAAGTGGTGAAATCTAATTATAATTTGGCCTTCTTTTGGATCTTTCCCTTGTTGTCATCCTGTTTTGATTCAGTCGCAACTATGTGCAACATTACTAAAGCGTTATTACGAGCAAAGGTTGCCATGGTGATGTCTGGCTACAATGGTCAGAAAGACATTGAATTGCTTTGAATTCAGTCCAGCAGATTAAATGTCACTGCACACTCGGTGTCATTCAGGCCGCATGTGTGTGTGTCTTGTGATTTGTTTGTTCATGACTGGACCCAGGGGTGTGGGATTTACCAGTGATTAATGGAACATTTTAAAATCAGTCTCTAGCAACTGAAATCATAAGTTTACATACCCCTTTTAGAACCTGCTGGATGTTTAGCATTCTAGACAGCATAAAATATATTTATGTGTTTATTTGGTCAAAAATACTGTAAACACATTGATGCTGTTAAATATTATTACAATGCATATATGTGTCGTAAATAAAAATGTGGTGTTCAAGAAACATTATCATCAATGTTGAAAACAGTTATGCTGGTTAATATTTTTGTGGCAACCATGATACATTATTTGATGCATATAAAGTTCAAAATAAAAGCATTCATTTGAAATATATTTATTTATTTATTGTATTGTAACAATGTAAATGCCTTTGCTGTCACTTTTGATCAATGTTATGTTTCTGGCTAAATAAAAGTATGAATTTCTTTAAAAAAATTTACCCCCAAAATATATACGTATTTTGCTTTTTATTTATCTTATTTTTATTTTTAATATATTAAGAATTTATGCTGTTTTGACCTTTGAAATGTAATATCATTTTGAACCCGATAATTTGTGTATATTCAGTTTAGTTTTGTGATCTGTATGCACATCTGTTTTGTCAAATGTTTCATCAGGCCAGTACTAAAAAAAAATAAATGTAATTTATTTTTTATAATCACACTTTAAAAAAAAAAAATAATAATAATAATTATAAACATTTCAAAGATTCTGCAAGGGGTTTATAAACTGAGCAAAGCTGTGTGATACATTCAATAATTATATTATATTTAGTCATGACTGCAATTGATGGAAATATTGTTAGTCATAACTGGACTTTATGATGGGTTTTTGTATAACCGACAATTTTAATACGAAACATAGTTGTGTATGATCAGTGAGTGTGTGTATGTTTGTGCAGGTTGGCTCTAGGTAACTGCAATGGTTTGGCAGTTGTGGACTACCTGCAGAAGACCATTTTGCTGTGTATGAGCACCCTGGAGCTGTATGGATCTGCAGACCCTTTCCAGCGACTAACACGCTCTCCTCGCAAAAACCGGCAGTCCACATCAGGTACACATGCACCATGTGTCTCAGAATCCCACAAATGTTCAAATGCAGTGTGTTTCTTTGTAACAAAGCTGTAAAATAAATATCAGCTGTGAACACACACATCACTGGCATGCATCTGCAAACATGCTCAGCATTTCAGCTATCAAAAACAAACTTTGCAGATTTCAAGCTGTCTGTTTTGCCTGTAAATATTCTGTCTCTCTTCTATTTAACACACACACACAGTTCCTCTCTTTAACTGCATGGGACAGACTGCATTCATGGTTGCCTTCTCTGCATGTCGTCTGTTGTATCTCTGTTGCTGTTGGTCTTTGCCTGAGCACGACACCTAACAGAGAACACAGCGTAACCTGCCATACGGACTCGCTGTTACTAATCCAGCACAGATCTCACTCCACCTGCCCTCCTCTATCCTCCTACCCCGACTGCTTACGCACATACACACTCACACGGACCATCCAGAGAAAGGAGATGCCATAAGTGAAAGCTAAAGATCAAGATCTGTTTTCATAGAGCATCATCAAAAGGAAGCTGCAGGGAGGCGCCATGCTGGCTCCTCACTTCAAAGTGGTCGCTCTCCCTCCTCTTGTTCATCCAGCCGTATCTTTAGAAACCGAGAGGCTTTGAGCCGGCATGGAGATGCAGAGGTGGGCAGAAAGGTCGTTTGGTGCGGTCGAAGAGTGATTTTGATCCGTAGCTTATGTAAGCTCTTAAAAAAGAGAGTGAACGTCTTAACGCTCACCCACACACTCAGGCCAGTGTGTATAAAGAGACTGTTTTGAACACTCTCTCTCTCTGTTTTCTAAACTGATGGCCTGAAAGGGGCAGCAGTCCCACTCAGTTTTTATTCTATCATTGATAATGTCTAGTCTTTCTCATTGTATATGGTGGGATCAATACGTCTGAGACCACTGGTCAAAATGTTTCTATTTTGACATTTTGAATGCAGTTTTTTCCAAATTATATTGTCAGCATAATTGAAATTTAAATGAAAATCCACATCCACATCCCCATACAGTGGAAACTAATATTGTGAATGATTATTACAGTTTAAAAATAGCTGTTTTTTAAAATATATTTTAAAATACAATGAATTATTGTGATGTCAAAGCTGAATTATAGCCATTACTCCAGTTTTCAGTGTCACATGATCCTTCAGAAATCATTCTAATAGGGTGATTTGCTGCTCAACAAACATTTCTTAATATTATCAATGTTGAAAACATTTGTGCTGCTTAATATTTTTGTGGAAAAGTGATACATTTGTCATGATTCTTTGATGAATAGGATTTTTTTAAAGCATTTATTAGAGATAGATTTCTTTGTTCTGTGTTGAACAATTTAATGCACCCTTGCTAAATAAATACATTTACAAAATCTCACTGACCTCAAACTTTTGAATGGTAGTGTAATTATGTTTCAAATCATGTACACCCACATGAGTCAAAGACCTATTATTAGTTCATGTTTTATTATACAAATTCTTTGTTTCAGATTTTAAAATCCAAAAACTTTCTGTTTATCTCCAGGTTTGAAATACATTTTGAAACCCAGTCTGGTCTCAGATTTTGGACCCCACTGTATCAGCAGTGCTGCAGTTAGTGCTGTGTGTACAGCGACACAATAAAACTAAAATGCTTACCTTACAATCAACAAATGCAACATTGTGATGCGGCAACTTCCAATGGGTATGAAGACAGCGAAGCTCATGTGATCCGCCTGCTATCAGATACTCACACTCGGTTTAGACAGGGAATCCATCAGCAAAATGAGTCCATACCTAATACTCATGCATATACATGCAATACATCTTCACATATACACTTTTAGATAGACACAGAAGAGAAGGCATTTCTATTTATGTTAATATTTATGTTTGTTTTGTTGGTTTGTTTGTTTGTTTGTACAATTTCAGTGCCACCTTCTGCAGTGGCTGTTAATCCCAAAAGGTTTTTCCTTCTGTTTAGTTCTGTTTTCTGCCTTATTTTTGTTGTTTTTGGTAGATCTAAAAAATACAAAAGGTTAGGCTTCATTTTCCTATTTTCATTCCTTCATTTTCTTCCTCAGTACACTGGGTCTTGCTCGGATTGCGGTCACACGCGTTTTGTCACTCTGAGCCTGTTTTGTTCTTCTCTCCTCCTCTTTTCCTCCCTCGCTCCATGTCTCCTCTCGTGGGTGGCGGTGCTGGGGCATGGGGGCGCTGTTGCAGACTTTTGCATGCGCGGCCTGTCTAACTTTCATTCCGATTCAAAGAAACGGATCCGTACTTCCTACCAGAGTAAGTCATGTCTCCAGTGAAACGCTGATGGTGGAAGCCCAACAGCAAGGAGGCAAAGCACAGACAATAGGATGTCATTTATCAAAATTTGTTGTTTTGATGAAGTTTACCAAAGGTAGAATTACCATACCATACTACACACAATACAATATATAATTATTTATAGTAATACAATTAATTGTTACAGAATATCATATTCACATGTTCTGAATTAGCATACACCAAAACATCCAATTACAATCTTTGATTGTCTCCTTGCTAAGTGTTTTATTGATTTGTGCCAAAGGTCATCAAACATGACCACGTTCTCACACTGTATGAAAAGGAATACTAACAAATAAAATCATGCAAAATGACATGACTTTTCAATTTAAACAAAAAAATAGGATTTTTTTTTTGTGTGTGTGGGGGAAAAAAAAGAATATTTTTCATACTAATAAAAGTCAATTTAAGTCAACATTGCTAAAAAAAAAAAAAAAAAGAGAAGCTTTTCAAAAAACGTTGTAGGTGACTTGTGACTTTTTTTTTTTTAAATCTGACATTTATCTGATAATCATAATGGCCCAAAAATTCAATATCACATACAAAAACATACTCTGCCAATTAATTTATCTCATTTGTGAAAATGAGGCTTTCACTGCATTCCTCTATATAATAAAGTTATTGTTATTACTTTTTTATCATCAAGATTTGTTAAGCTTGTACTTTGCAGAAGAACGTCTCAGGTTACGTATGTAACCCTAGTTCCTCGAGGGAACGAGACGCTGCGTCGAAAACGCTAGGGGAACGCCTTCTGCGACCCACGCTCTGAATCACATGTGAAATCAGTCCAATAGCTGAACGGGACGTCACGGCGGATGACGTCATGACCAGGAAGCTATAAAAGCACGTGCGGCGGAGCCAGCGTCAGCTTCTAGGAATGAAGCAAACGCCGGCAGGGATGCCGGAAGTATGGCACAGAGACGCAGCGTCTCGTTCCCTCGAGGAACTAGGGTTACATACGTAACCTGAGACGTTCCTCTTCAGGAACTCGAGCTGCGTCGAAAACGCTAGGGGAACGAGAATGCCCACGCCGCCAGACTTCCAAGTCTCTGCCTTGTGTGGAAGACTGCACAACTAGGGCGAGAGAACGGAAGAGCCGGGAGTGGCTCGCATGTCTAGCTCGTAAAACCTAACAAAGGTAAGGGGCGTGGACCAACCCGCAGCGTTGCAGATATCCTGCATAGGCACACCCGCTAAGAAAGCCTTAGAGGCTGCCACACTTCGAGTCGAGTGAGCCTTGACCCCTAACGGCGAGGGGAGATCAGAGGACTCATAACATAAGGAGATGGCATCCACTATCCACCGACTGAGGGTCTGCTTAGTTGCTGGAAGACCTCTCTTAGGGGGACCGTAGCACACAAGCAACTGGTCCGCCCTCCTCCACAGGGCAGCTCTGTGGACGTATGCATCCAGTGCTCGCACTGGACACATACAGTTAAGCTTCTGCTGGTCTGGTTCCCTGAAGGGAGGAGGACTGAAGGCCTGAAGTACAATGGGCTGTGGTGCTGATGAGGGGACTTTTGGGACATACCCCACACGAGGGTACAGAAATGCTTTGGCCAGACCGGGCGCAAAGTCAAGACAGGAAGGGGCCACCGAGAGGGCCTGTACATCCGCCGTGACGTCCCGTTCAGCTATTGGACTGATTTCACATGTGATTCAGAGCGTGGGTCGCAGAAGGCGTTCCCCTAGCGTTTTCGACGCAGCTCGAGTTCCTGAAGAGGAACTTTAGTTCGCACACAAACTTGTAAAATGATTGATATTTTTGCAGTGCAGTGCATGTTTTTACCGTCGTGCCTTGAGTAACATCGATGCAATTTTTCTCTCTCCTGCATACACACACACGTGCATGGAATTGTTGGTGGTGATGGTGCACATGCTTGATTCTGGAGTTAATATAACCAGTGTTACTACTGTGGTTGAAAAGCTCACATTCACAGCAGACAGGAGTAGAACAGCCATGTCATGGCTATATATATATATATGCCTAGTTAAAAGTTTAAAAACTGTATTCAATTCAATTCAATTCAAGTTTATTTGTATAGCGCTTTTCACGATACAAATCGTTGCAAAGCAGCTTTACCGAAAATTAAGTTTCTACAATATATTTAGTAGTAGCTTGTCAGAAGATGTTGTGTGTATGTTATGAAGATATCTATACATCTTCCTTGCATCGCTCCAGGATCATGATATTGTCTCAAACCACATTGTTTGTCCTGGTGTTTTGATGCATGCAAATGTGTTTGGTGGTAATGGAACCCGGTGATTATTGTCATCTGCTTCCTCTTACTGTGCCTTCCATATTCCTCCATGGCAGGTCTTACGGAGCTTTCTGATAATCAGGTATCTTTGGACCTAGAGAGGAGCAAGTCACCCACCTCAGGTAACCATACCCACTCATGACCGCACACATCGCTGATAGCCTCACCACCTCTGCTAATCACGTGTACTTCTATACTTCTATTTTTGATAGCCACACCCATGATTGGTCACACCTACTTAATATAGCCACACCCTCTCACGATCAGAAATAGCCATATCACCTTTGATCACACCTATTCCTAGTTCTGGTAACCATACCCATTGTTTGGCCACATCTACCCCAATACAACCACACCCATCTCTAATAGCCACTCCCCACAGGAAACAATGATGGGGGAGTGTTTGAGAAACCTGTTTGATAACAGTCATTATTTTTGAAATTCCACTACTATCTGTGCAAATATCACACATTACAGCTTTAATGACAAAAACGTTAAAATATTAACACATTAAAATAATACAAATCCTTCAAACCTTCATCCTGCAGTTTTTCTCTGTTTCTTTTCTGTCCTCTTTTTTTAAGTTTCCCCACAGCACAGGTCTTCAGTCCCTGGAGGCTCTTTTCTCCACTCTCTTACCTCCAATGTCTTTGCTTCTTCTTTGTCTTAAAGCCATCATAACCTGTGTAGAATTTTTATGAGGATATGATAATGTTTACAGATTTTTACTCAGTGTTTGCATCGCCTCAGTGGGATGAACATGATGACAACAACAGTGCTTGTCCTTGAGGATCTAAATAGAGCTCTTAATTTAGAAGAAGTATTTCAGTAAAGCTTTGATTTCTCAGGGGAAGAAATTTTACATTGTCTTTTTTAAGCTATTGTTGTTTGAAATATCAGAGGCACATTTAGTGCAGTGTCTCAAGAATACAAAATTTGCTGTCTGTTTTTCTCTCTCTCACTTCACTCTCATGTCTCAGTGCAGTTGAAGCTTCTGCTTGTTTTCCTAGTACCCAGCTCAGCAGGCAGCCTGAGAGATGGAAGTCGCTTGGGAAGGCGAGCTGAGGGCTGTAGCCTGACATCAGTAGTTTGAGAGATAGAGAGGAGGAAAACTTCCAAAATGTGGCTGTGTATCAAGCGTATTCACCTAAAAATGAAAATGAGCAAATCTGTATAATTTTTTTCTTCTGTGAAAGACAGAAAAGAAGACATTTTGAAGAACGCCCATTTTCATACAACAATGTCAGAACTGTCAATTTTGGGTGAACTGTTCTTCTCAAGCCTGTAGTGAAGCATAGGAGTCACATGAGTGTGATTTTCTCTAGAATGTTCTGTGGTAAAGAACTGGCTGTCAGAACATCCTTTGTGTGTTTTCTTCTGTGGGATTTGTTAAGCTGGCTTCAGGCAGCTGAGTAATTCAGATGTGTTTTTGTGGAAGCAGCTATTATGACAGGAGTCAGGAAATGGCCTTCAACGATTGGCTTGGGAATTTAGCCAAAAATTAGACTGAGATTCTGGGTATCAGCCACTGAAGCATAAAAAGAGGGTCTGAGGGACTAGTGGAGAAAATATAAATAATGATGAGGAAGGAGAGTATGATGAAGAAAGCATTATTTGTGTGTGTGTGTGTGTGTCTATATGAGTATTTCATTGCACTCATGTTTGGTGTTTGGTAAATGTGTCTGTGTGTTTCTTCAAATATGGGCACTGTTGGCCCTGTAGACTTTTAGAAAATAAACAATAGTTGGTAGTATAACAATGTCCAACAGTTGACATATTATATATATGCATCACTGTAAAACTACATAATTTACATACACATTTTGTCCCCCCCCC